ATAAAGTTCGCCATGCCACTGTATATATTTATCAATTAAGTTTAACCCGATAATGAATAATAACAATAATAATAATAATAATAATGCATACAAATATTAATGTAACAAAAAAAAGTTTTTCTTTACAGAGTATTCTTTAACTACATAAATAATATATGTTTGTAAGTTGTGAAAATTCAAAGTATACAGATTTTTGTCGTGCATCGAGTTGATAAATTATTAGGTACCTACAAAGTTACGCTAGTGTATAGACGAAATAATCGTAATAATATTTTATCATATATAATATTGAAGTTAAAAAAAAAAAAAAATGCATTATAAATTAGTACATATATCGTAAGTATTAATAAATTGTTTAGAACATCAAGGTTTTCTTATATTTTGGGTAAGATTAACTATAGAATTAAATAACAGATAGTCTGTGGTCATATGGATGTACCTATAATTATTTTACCAACTATCAATTACTATCATGAGTACATGTTTTAAATTAAATATTTAAAAGCAATTTTTATTATACAAAGAAAATGTTGTATAATATACTTACGGACTCCAAGCAAGCGGCGTAATCACACGTGGTAAAAATRACAGTCGCTAGAAAGATGACGGTTAGCAGACGTTTKTCCAGTTTGAACGATGTCATAGTTGAAAACTAAATAAAAAGTTTGGTTTCAATATTTTTACTACTGTAGTGCTGTTATTCAAGTCTAACGTCGTATCTATAGGCACATCTGCTTTGCAGTGGAAATGTAATGTTTTAATTTCGTATATATTATCAAGTACAGCCCGCCTTGAAAACGTCCTATCCCAATACTGTGAAATCCRAAACAACTGCAAYTCTGCTTTATACTGGTTTTTTCTTATTTGCTGAATGACTGTACCATTCACTTTGCGCGTACACTAAGCATAATATGTAGCTGATGCAGCTCACACGCACGATAGCGATAACTCGAGTATATCACCGTCTAAGTATTCCTTAATGTATTATTTTTGTACATTGTCATCTCTCGAGTCCAAGATCGCGGTCTTCACTTCCCGGTTGTGATTAATTTCGTATTTTGCGGCTTAATGACATTCCCAATTATCTAAATATCATGAGCACCTATTATTCCACCTTTAGCTTTAAATAATGAAAATATGTTGACGTTAAAATATGGCGTATCATCGAATGAGCTCTTTAACCACATCGTCCAAAGTCCGTGTGTATATGCATATTATCCATTAATAACATACAACAACAACRAAAAACGTAAAACAATATGTAATTCAAGGACATTCAAGAACTCGAACCGAAAAATTATATTTTAATTACACGGGCKAATGTCCTTATTTATTTATCATACTTCATTTTTGTCATTGCTGCATAAGAAACCAAACTAATAAAAACTGTCTGATAACCAATATTATTTTGATCAGATCGCTAATTTTTTGTGTTTGTAAAATTAATTTTAAATACGAATGTATAAAAAATCACAAAGCGAATAGTTATACCTTATACAAAATATATAATTTTTTAATTTGATATCCA